GCTGCCACGGCCGCGCAGCGCGGCCCGGGCCCGCGGCCGAGGGGCCTCCCTGGGGTGCTCGGACCAGAAGACACGCCATGAGGCTGCGGGAGCGGCAAGAAATCCGCCATCGCTCTGCGGGCCAGGGGCCTTCGCGCGTTTGCAGAGGGTGGACTGGCAGGAGCGTGCTTGCGCCTTGCCGGAGTCGACATCAGCATAAAAAGGAGTTTGATTGAAATGATTTGAAGACATCTCACAATGCAGCTGTAATGGTAAAGGAGCTCTTGATAAAACTGGAGTCAGAGGTCAGGGATGAGATATCATGTCATGAATCTCTTTAATCAGGGAAGAGAATTTAGCAGAGACAAAATTATTTCAGCTGAAAGACTCTGCTGCTGCAACACCCTTCTGTTACCACACTGCACGTCTTCGTCAGGCAGGTTAGTCAGCTTAATTCAGCCCTACTACTCGAACCATATTACCATGTTTCCTAACCTCCAGATAATCCAAATGTACATGAAGCACAGTTTTGCCCTATCACAGCCAACAGGAGCAAGCTCATCTCCTTGACATCACTTAAAAGAGACTTCTAAGACCTGTTGATGATCAAGATCCTTCATTAGAAGCATTCGCTGCTCTTTCCAGATCTACAGTTGTGCATCTGGGAAACTTCTGCTAGAAAGTATCACATTATAACAGATTCAGCGGGGCCAGAACACACAGACCTTGGTTGGCAATCTGAGAGCACCAGTTCTAGCACTTTGTCCGTCTGCTTTCCCTTTCTGTTCTGCTCCCACTCTTTTCTTAGTTTATACTGTAAGATTTGCAGGTAGTAACTCTCTCCTGCTATGCGTTTGCATAATTAGGCCAGTCAGTAAGCATTGCTTTGATATGAATAACAATAATAAACAGCTTTTCAATCCTTGAGCATATAGTAAATGCTGAAAACTCTACAGCCAGAAGTTCAAGCCCTTTAATGAACTGTAATGCTAGTTTATATTAAAACCAAGATAAATGATAATTTTCTACCTGTTCATTTCATTTCACAGCATAGAGAGCAGATACACCCCTTTCTAGATGCATGTGGATACACCACCACTATAAAACACCCTTGCTGACTCCTATGGGACTATATTAATGAAAAAAAAGATTTACAGAGTTCACCTGTTCGAGAGCTTCCAAGAAGTTTAATATCTGGCTATATTTATACATCTGCATGCTTCTGTGAAGAAGAATCCTTGAAACAGCCTGTACTCCATAGCTAATTGGTGTGGATATGCAGGTAACACAAAAAAAATTGCAGTGACAAAGAAGATTTTGCAATGTCCATTTGTGCTGGCCAAAGCAGTAAGAATCCCAACAGCAGAGCAATCCAGGGCAGACATTTCGATAACAAGAAAGGAACAAATGCATAAAGCGACCTCTCTCCCGAAAGCTGCAGCAGCACAGAGGGGTCCCTCAGGAAATATTTCTGCCTAATTACATGGCTTCCTAAAGTGGAAGATGGGAAATACTGGGTCTTTCAGATCAGGATCCTGAGATGGCTCTTGTGCAGTAAAATTTGGTGGAAAACAGGTTTTTTTACCTTGGTTACTCTGAACTTTATTGCTTAAAATTTAAAGGCAGAGACTCAACAATACCTTCAGCCAGGATTTTCTTGACATTTTCATAAAGAACTATTAGATGTCCCATTGTAAGTTCTTCATGTGTGAAGATCTGTAGCATTAGATGCAAGAGGTCACAAGTACCAGAAGAAAGAGAAAATACAATTCAGCTTATGCAAAATAAAGTTTTTACATATGATCTGCTTCCTGTCTATCAGCTTCAGATTAACAAGGTGAGGGACTTCTGTACTTGCACGGTATGATTTGGCAGGTGGTGGTAGGCAGCACAGCATGGGGATTACCCAACTGTGCGTGGGTTAATATCAAGTCTCTTAACTCCTGGCAGCCTGGTCTGGGATACCAACCAAATGAGTTACTTTCCTTTTAATACATCTTGCAACAATGCTAGTAAGCAACATTTTTAGTCTTGATTAAGGTAAGAGTTAATCCGCTGGTGAACTCCTAAAGTAACTTTCTAGAACTGGTGAGTTCTGCACCACAAAACAGCGTAGGACTTCAATTCAGCCCTTTCCATAGCTAGAACTGTGTATTAAATATGGACCAATTTTCCTCTGCATTCAGGATTATTTCAGGTCCAGAACTCAACAGGATTCAGTTGAG